CATATCCAATCCATCCCCAAGAGATTCTGGTAGAATAGATTTATATTCTGCTTCTGTAACATGAACATCGCATATTTAAACAGAAAATTTATTCCACACCAATTCAAACATAAACTGTTTAAAAGGGTACATTTTGGTAGATATTAGTCTATTTTGATTTTTAAGTGATCCAAATAAACCTTTATTTAGTTAATTAACTCTCTTTTTAGCAGAACTACGCGATTTGTTAGTAGACATTATAGAATTTGGTTTAGTCAATAAAATATAATTTATTGCTAGAGATATGACCCATATCGTTGCATGCATTCTATAAATAACTTTGTATACAAGTAAAGAAAAAACTTTTCAAAAAAGGAAGTAAATGTAGGGATGGCTAATGTCAATTATTCAAAGACAATGCAAACAAGTTAGTAGGGATGGCATTTCCATTATCCATACATAATAACACAGGCACACAGTGTAGTAGAATGTTAACAGTCAAAAATAGGATAAATTAAACTCAGTTGTGATTAAATAATTACATATATTGCTATTATGTAGGGATGGTGCACATGTCATCCCTACTATCTTGTTTGCATTATTTTTGAAGGATTGATATTAGCCATCCATACATTTTTCCCTTTTTTAAAAGTTTTACTTTTTTTTAATGAAGTGTTTCCATAAACATAGAAAGGTTGCGTTTACAACCAAGTTCTAAATACAATGACGTTTCAACTGTAATATTCATTGTTTATCTATTATTAGCTGGTAATTCCTATTTCACCCTGTACTTAAGTTTTCTGAAGGAACAACAATTTCTGTACGAAAGCTGACTTCAAGGGGTAATGATAACATCGTTTACACTAAAATTATTATTTTTTGAAATTAATAATACTTATAAAATCGGATACTCAGTTTGAAACTATGTTACCTCAGTAAAATTGGTTGACACCATTGTTTTGGTTTCTGAGTTATCTTGTAATAAAAAAAAGAACAAGAAATTCAAACTTTTTTGCTATGATATTTAAAGACATTTCCAGAAATTGTGACTCAGTTATTACATAAATATTGTTATAAAAGGAAACACTGTATAGCATTGTAAAGTTCTGATGACCTATTGAGGAGATATTTAGAATACCATATCGATGAACAACCCGAGCCATCTCAACATAGGCAGTGCTGCCACCTGCCTTATTACTTTCACAAGCCACAAAAATTGAATGAAAAGCAAGATATTTTTGTTATATATATGTGTGTGTGTCTGTCTGTATTGTTTCAGGATTGTCTACTTTACATATTTATATGCTGTTTTATATATACCTGTGTGTTTGGGTGTAATATACGTATTTTTATGCTGTTTGATAGATTCTTGTATTATATTAGGATTTATCTGCTACATACATATTTCTGTGCTGTTTTATGTTTCAGGACTGATCTGCTTAATTTCCTTTGGAATGTCTCTCATTTTCTCACATGGCGGAGGTAACTACGTCTTCACTCTCTACGATGATTTCAGCGGTAACTTCCCTTTGCTAATTGTGGCCTTCTTTGAATGCATTGCTATATCTTACGTTTATGGTGTTAAAAGGTATGTTTTATTATTGGAGTAATTCGATAAACTTACAAAACTCTAGCCTAGAATATTATATGGTAAACAACATCTATGTGATTTGTTGTTACATATAAACAGTTTCAAATTAATAATAACCTCTAAATATAAGTAAAAGGAATACTAACACTTATGATAATATAGGTAATATAGCATGGTTCGGGTATGGAGATAAACTTCGCGATAAACATAGACACTTTTAAGACTTTGTTATACCATTCGTTCGTAGAAAGAGACTTTAACACTTTTATCCGCCAACCTCTGGATGTTACAAAATATCCACTTAATGTTGAATTTTTTCTACCTATAAATCTTACACAACATCTGTAACTTATTGTTATTCTTCTAGATATAGGTATTATAAAAATACCTTCATAATACTGTTATTCTTCTAGATATAGGTATTATAAAAATACCTTCATAATACTGTTATTCTTCTAGATATAGGTATTATAAAAATACCTTCATAATACTGTTATTCTTCTAGATATAGGTATTATAAAAATACCTTCATAATACTGTTATTCTTCTAGATATAGGTATTATAAAA